AAATGATCATTTTAGATAACCAATCACCAGCAGGGACTTGTTAACGGGTGTTAAGTCGACAGCGCTTGGCGAGTAATGAGTATTGTACGATACGGCATCCAAAGCGGATCAAGCAATAAAGTAAAAATGCTTGTGTTCCTTTGTATCGAAAGAAGAAAAACTACAAACTACTTATTTCTTATACTTTCTTTTGTTGTACTCCTGCTCAATGATGTCCACGCCATTTTTGAGGACTTTCAAAGCATTTTCAAAAAGATACTCTGCTCGCTCAACCTCACCCATGCTCTCTTCAAATTCAATGAGCTCGAGCCAGACACGTGCATCCATATAGCTATCCTGCAAGTATTCTTCATTAATTTTTCTTGTTCTCGTCTTGTCGCCTAACACCCGTTCCATACTCAAATATTCTTCGTATACATCCAAGTGTTGTGCAATCGCTTTTCCATAGTTCTTTCCCGCTGACTGCAATTCTTCCTTTCTTACTAGAAATTTTGAATACTTAACAAATGATTCTGTCCGATATTCTCTGTTAATCACCCTTAGTAAGCATTTGTATATCTGTTCAGCACCAGATAAATCCTGTTTTTTCTCCAGCAGAGCCGCTTCACACGGCAGTTTACTGCAATGCACATTAGCATTTTCATCTGCAATCACTTTCCTCATTATTCTATATTTGTGCTTAGAGAACGAGCTATCAAAACTGTATTTACCTCTCTTGATGAATTGGAGTGCGTCCTGAAGAAGCTTTCTTTGTTCAAGCACTTTTATTACTCTTATAGTTGTAGTAGAGATAGTTTTATTGTTGTTAGCATAAAAAGTAAATATTTTTGCCGACTGGATTACAAATAAATTTCTGAATATGTTAAACAAAAATGACCAGGAGGCATTTAAAAATCAATAATATAATCGTACCTAGGAGCCTTCGATCCTAAAAATTACAGTACATCATATAAAAAAGACAACTCGGAAGCTGATTGGTCAATTCTGTGAAACAAAAAAATAACCTATTAGGAAAAATAAAATGTTTGTTTCAGGTATTTGCACTGGATGAAGAGTCAAAAGCTGTTGTAGAATCTATTCTTTCTGGGATGCACTTAGTCATCATTTACACACAGTATTTTCATCCTATTTTTATTTATTCTACCCCTACTATTATTTAGTTGGCTGTTTTTATGAACACTACCACGTCTAATCAAAATGCATGAAATAAATAACACATCTGTACTTTTAACTTTTGTTTGATGTCCTCAACATTGTAACAAATTGCGATGACATTTACAATATATTTAGATTATTTAGCATAAAAGAATGAGACACGTTTTGGGAATACGAAGAAATGGATGTAAAAGTGTGTTTTTGGTCAATGTAACAGAACATAACATCACAATCAAATTGACAATTTGGTGAACATTTTGTATGTTCT